TCATTGTATCCAAAATGATTGTGATGATTTTAAGATTTTAATTGGATTTAATAATTTAATTACAGTATGACGGGATCTCCTTCGGATACTGACTCAAAGAGACAAAAACAAGAGCTGAGCGAGACGTGAGACAAAGGCAAAGAGAGAGTGTGAGGGGAGGACGTTTAGCTGGAACTGAAGTGAAGCATCAATCCCATGATCCCTAATTTTCGGGCTGTCATCTCCTGCAGAGTGAAATGAAAGAGGAGAGCCGGAGTTGGAAACAAAGAAATGAGAAAAGCAGATGGATGAAGCAGTCAGGAAGGATATTTTATATTTGCTATGTGATGCACGGTCTGTCGGAGTCTTTCAGGCATTAAAAACTGTCTCAAACTTTCTGGAAATTTTGTACTAATGTGTTAGACAATTTCATCCATCTAACATGTCATAGAGGAAGTTTGGAAAGTTCTGGATTTGCACAGAAGACGTCAAAGTGCCTCCCTCCAGGCAGACCGGCTGACTTTCCTCATTTGATTCCAATCCTTCCATCACTAAATGAGCTGAGATCAAAGATCCAGTTTGTTGGATTGAGGAAACTGACAGAAATGGAACATAATATAATAAATATGTTTTCTTTAACGCAAAGTCACCTGAAAATAAGAATCATACTGTTGTCTTAGAATGAGCTGTTTACATCTACACTCCCTGGCCACTTTATTAGGAAACTGTCAGCTACCTCGTTAATGCAAATCAACCAATCAGGTGGCAGCAGCTCAGTGTATTTAGTCACGTAGACATGGTGAAGACGAGCTGCTGAAGTTCAAACGGAGCATCAGAATGATGAAGAAAGGTGATTGAAGTGACTTTGAACGTGGCATGGTTGTTGGTGCCAGACGGGCTGGTCTGAGTATTTACTGGGATTTTCAGCACAACCATCTCTAGGGTTTACAGAGGATGGTCCCAAAAAGAGCAAATATCCAGTGAGCCAAAATGTCTTGTTGATGCCAGAGGTCAGAGGAGAATGGCCAGACTGGTTCAAGATGATAGAAAGGCAACAGGAAGTCAAATAAGCACTGGTTCCAACCAAGGT